ATATTCCAAATGTTACAAAACCTTATTAACACTAAAAAAAATTATTGAAGTGCATTTTTTATACTCTCTACTTTGCATTCCAATATGGAAAATTAAATATTCAATTTTAATTTAAAATCAACAAGGCAAACTCATCAGAAGTTTCCAGACCAAATAAAACTATTTTGCATTTTTCTATACTATAGTTTTGTTTGAATTTTGAGGAAAATTAGGACAACCAAGGTGAGTTACAGTCCGTTTCTAGAGAGATACTCATCCGAATGTCTTTTTTCGATCATAATTGCAAGTTTATAATGCTATATCTTAAATTTATTGCGTCGAATAAAGAATACACATTATTATCCAACGAGGAGGGTGAAAAAATGGGAAAAATCTGCGAGGAAAACTACTCCGGAGGACGTTAGCGACTTTTTCGCGTTGCTTCTCGCGGCGGGGGCATTCGATAACGCACCATTTAACCGAATATTATACATTTATGCGAGTGGGGATTTTTTTCGTCGCGACCGCATGATTTATGGCGGAAGCAGGCCGGGCGTGGATGTCGCGAGTCGCTAACGTCCTCGTTGAAATTATAAATTATTGTCCTTGCTGAGCACTCCCGGATGAAACGAGATTTGAAGCTGTTTGCAATTGATACGGGCCGCAAAAGAGCTTATATGCTACTGGAAAATATTGACAGGTAGCAACTAATTCTGATTATCCTTTAAAAACATAATTTGATTGAGTTTTTAGTGATAATATGTAAAATTTGGAGCTATTTGGATATTATTTCGAGGTTATTTTTATCATATCTACGTTTATCAATCTTCAATTACTGTTCAAAATACTTATAACGCTATTTCTACCTATATTTTTTATTGACATTTTATATTTTTATATCATTCAAGGAAATTCCCGAAGGAACAGGTAATACCCAGGTACATTCATTCTTGTATAGTAAGTGAATAATAAGGATATTACAAAAAAGTCGTAAAAGTCAAAACAAATATAGATACTACATCTTGAGGTACGTGTGACTTTTAGGGTTAGGAGAACCTTTTTTATACATATAAAACGCACATATTTCATACCAATATATCATAAATTGTTTTAGTATATGATATTGGTAAAAAATACTAAGTTTATTCATAAATTTTTGGATATATCGTAAAGAGTGTGAACGTATCCCAAATAATTTAGCCTCAATCATCGTTTAAAACAAACGCGTTTCAAAACATTTCACGTCGTTTCCACATCGCTAACTCGTTTAATTTGATCGCTGGCAACGAGATGCGAGAATTCCAACTGCGTAGTAAATGCGTAATGCATGCGTAATAACTGAATATATAATCGGGCGCATATATAATAAACTTATGCACTCGCAGAGCGCGTCATACATTGCACTCGCTGCAGCGTACAATTGAGTTCAATTGGGCAGGGTTAAATAGTAAAAGTGTAAGTGACGCGCATTTGCGCTCAAAACTTAGGTACCCGTCGCACGATTTAATTGTAACTAATAAAAAAAGAACTAAACGATCGTTGCACCCGGAATGTATGCATTTTTATTCGAAAATTGTCGACCTACGCTTTGATACGAATATAAAACGTAAGCATTGATTTGATTAAAAATAAAAAACAAATCTAGAAGGATATCTTCAGTTGGTTGATCCTGCCTGTGAAGGACTCTCTATTGTGTTTCCTCGTGTGTTGCCTCCTGTCGACGTGAAAAGAACCGAGCCCACATTCAAATGGTGCGCTGCTCGTGCTCGTCGGCTGCGTCGGCGTCGCTAAACAACCCCTATTATCAATCTAATGGATTAATCCTATTATCTGAAAGCCGTATTGTCATTATGGAATTGCTGCCGCCCTTCGAAGTGCATTACGAGCGGGGAATTGTCGACCGGCGAGCCAACTAACGTGAACGCCGCGAATTTGAACCAAAATGTGGAAAATACATGATGCGCAAAGTGCCTAACTAGCACTCAATAAAAATTTCTCGCATATTGATAAATTCGTAATTTAATAAATAGTATGAATCACAAATAAGATTTGAAAAGAGTTAGTTTTATCATTTATGATTACCTAGTTTGGCTGTACGGCACGCGCCATCATTCCGCCCCTCTGAATAAATTAAAAATTAACAACGCCTTGTTGGTCGCTTTTTCGCCCAGCTCAAGCCGTCGTGATCGGATCATTGAGTAAGCCGCGTCGAGTCGATGCAAACATCTTGAATTATAGATAAAGCGCTCGCGACGCTCGCAGCCGAATGAGAATATTTATGTAGATTACAGGTGAGCGATTACCTGTTCCCGTGCTTTGAGCCACGGATCTTTCGTGACCACTCCTATGTGCGTTCGTTGGATTTGTGAGGAGTTTTGATTTCCCGGATCACGATAACGATTACATTGTAGTGTCAAAAGCCATTCGGTATTACATTCTGCATTCATTTTTAGCGAATATTACATCAGTTTATCAGGTATTTTTTATGTCAAAATTACTGAAAATTGAATTTCCGTTGTATGAAATAAATTCACAAGTAGGGAAATGAAATAATTGCTAAGTACGAAATTAAATATCATGAGGATTCTCGCAATCCGCGCCTCCTCGATTTATTTCATCTGTTTTTTGTGAAATGTGCCGTCGAACATCAAACGGTTGCGTGAATAATTCGCCCCGACGATTACTTTGAAGTCATTTCGTTTGCCGCCAGGACGACTTTATAAAATAGTCGATTTCATCAACTATTTAGTATTTAGTGTTTCGTGCCGCGCGACACATGCAGCGCATTTACCTACGCAACGCGATGCTGCCGTCATAAAAGCCTAATAACGTATTTATGTCAGCGCAGTTCAGCGCGAGGGCGCTGGAGGACGAGATCGAGGACTTTTATTAGCGTCTTCCCGTGTCGTCCTCGCTGTGGGGTACACTCGAGACCGATTACATCAGTCTTGAAAATGAGCGATCTCAGCGAGTGAACGAGTAAGTTAACTGTTTAAGTACTTTGTCAAGTTCACAAGCTGCCGTAATTTTCGTACAATTCGGATTAAATATAATTGCTAAATTTCTATGAAACGTAACGTTTTGCTAACAAGTACTTTGTTAGAAGTAAGCTTCTACGAATATCATTGAATTCCGACCAATTTTAATTCCTGTGTTTTTTGTTCCCAATTAGTTTTAATGAATAAGCCTAGTTCTGCATTTAACTAAATTTAATCAAAATTACATGAATATTCTATTTATAAAGGTAAACGTAGAATTCTGTGAAAATTTATTACGAAAACAAAGGCATTAGACTGGTTTTGATGAGGAATACGATCGTATTTGTTTCAATTTTTGAAGCAAATTAAATTTTGTGCGCCACCCTTAGGGGCACAATTTTTTTGTGCAATTTTTTGTTGTTTTTTTGGTTTGAATAGTTTTTATGCCCCTCGGTTTAATGCGATTTTTATTGTGCTCACAGCACTAATATTTACACTCCTCGCCGTTTTTTGTTGGAATTTTTTTGGGTGCATGTTTTGCGTTACAATCGAATTACTATCAATAGTGCCCGTTGGTCCTATTCAGATGTTATTTGATGCGAGTTTGTAGTTAAAATAAAATTTTAATAGGGCCGACGAGATTTCTGCCACTAGGTTGATAAAGAGTTATCAGTACTAAATATGCTAACATCCAGCATGTCGTAATATTCAGTCGGAAGTCAGTAAGTTCCTAAACTAATATAAATTTTTGATTGCTACATCAAACCGCTCACATCTCAGGGAGATTTCTATTTATTGCATCGTTGCGCACGACAATATAAAACTCGGCAAGTCGTATTGGCTTCTTCTTCTGAATGATTTTCTCAGGACTCAAGGCAACCGGTATTTTAGAGTCCGCAAGGACCCTATGGAATTTCCGTTGAATTGTTATTATCACCTCGTTTTATTGCGTGCGATTGAAATTTTCGCTGAAATTCATATTTCCGATTCCTGCAAAGTTTTGCACTCCTAGACCACCGCGGTGTCACTAAAGGAGTTCCGGTGAATTACGATCCGAAGGTGGGGAGCTCATAAAATGCAAGTTTCGGTTTGATTTCGCTTCGAAGTTGAAAGTTAATTCGCATCTTGGACCAAGATTGAAATTTTAGTTTTCTTCCTTTTGCCCCTCTTTGCATCGGTGCGAGGCGAACGGGCGGATGCAAGGAAGTCGTATGCATAATCGTATGTGAAACGCACGGCGCCGGGAGGTTGCAGTGTGTTGGTGGCGACGGGTGTAGTCTACCTGGCGTCGCGACGCCTCCGCAACGATTTCTTCGGCAAAGCCAAAACCCATTCTATTCTAACTTCAGAATTGTAACATTCCGTCATACTTGTGGGAGTTTGTATCTGTGTATAGATATATGCAGCACAAAAGGACTATGGGCGACTGAGAATGATAAAAATCTACTGCGTGGTCAACTGCTTAGGGGTGGGTAGATGGGACCAAATGACCGGAAAACTCTTAAACGTCGTTAAAACTCGGCCGAAAACTCGTTTTTCTTAGTGTTTCCTTTATTCTCGCGGACGTTTTAAGTTGCCATGAATTTCAAAGGACATTTAGGCGTGACATAGTTGCGAACTCGCGGCCGAGACTCGTCGATGTCTCGGTCGTTACGGTTTTATAGCTTTGGCCTCGCGCGATTTGAATCTCCCACTTCGGCACTCGAGGGCAAGGGAAAAGATTCGATCCGCAGGCGCCGCCGGCGAAGGCGCCACATCTCCTGCTCATATATCACCTCTTTGCTAGATCCACCTCCTACCTTTCCTGGGCTGAGAGTCGAGAGTCTTGTGTAGTCTAGTCTGGGGTTGGTCTGGCAAAGGCGCCACTAAAATAGGCACCCGCTCTCGTTAGCAGCGGGCGCATAAATCACCGCGCGACCAACCTAATGGTCGCAGGTGGGCCATAAACGCTTCCTGGGCTCGCGCGGGACCCGCTCCAAATGTCTGATACTTTGCATAATTTTCGTATCGAACGCTGAGTGAATCTTTTTCCTTTGGTTGCAGAATTCCATCAGGCATAATCTCAGCCTGCACAATCGTTTCATGCGCGTGCAGAACGAGGGCACTGGCAAATCCTCCTGGTGGATGATCAATCCAGACGCGAAACCAGGCAAATCCGTGCGGCGGCGAGCCGCTTCTATGGAGGCTGGTAAATTCGAGAAGAGACGCGGGAGAGTCAAGAAGAAGGTGGAGGCTCTTAGAAATGGAATGGCAGATGCCACTCCGAGTCCCAGTTCCTCGGTATCCGAAGGATTGGATCTCTTCCCTGATTCACCTATTCACAGGTAGGTTTACTGGTGAAATTCCTGATTCAAAGTAGAACTAGAATTGATTTGAAATATTTTTATACAACGTTTTTATTAGTGTTGGATTCCAACTGAGTCCGACTTTAGACCGCGCGCATCGTCGACCGCATCGTCGGTAGGACGTTTATCGCCGATCCCAGCTTTGGGTATGGAACCCGATTGGAGCGCATCGCAATTTCAGAATTCCAGCTACAGCTCTGAGCTCAGTGGTGGGAACTATTCTCCCGACCAGCTTGCCGGCAACTTCGAGCAGGGCATGAAATTGCATCCGGCGGAAACCGGCTACATGGGGTGAGCACATACTCTGGACACTTTGATCCGGCTGTCGCACCCATTGACCTGATCTGTTTTGTCTTGATCCGTTTACATCACAACCTGCCAGACAACCAGCCTTGACCGTTTTTCATGCTCATGTTACTTGTTCATTTTTCATATTAATATATATCATGAGGTGTCTTTGGATGTTGGCTGTTCACTAACCTGGGATTTGGATTGCTTTTATGGGTTTATACGTGACTTGATCGAGTTTAGGTTTTTATGGTTGATGTTTCTTATAGATTCATGAACGGCCAGACACCACAACAACCTCCGCCGCCGTATTCGGCTCCGTACGATTCGTACAGTCACGCGGACATGAATAGCATACACCAGAACACACCTTATGGGATAACTCCGCAGTGCCCCGTCCATCGCATCCAGAACTGCGCATGTGGCTTGACAAACCAATGTAAAGTTGAGGTAAGTTAATTTGGGACCTCCTAATCCGGCAGATATTGATTTATGTTTTTGTTTTGGTTAGCAAATGTCTCCGACTGGTATGTCCCCATCGTACCCTCAGTCGGAACCATCTCCGGACCCTCTTGGAGGTCAATACATGATGGGTAGGACGGCAATGCCACGACCACCTTCAAGCAGTCCACCACTTACACCGCAGCCGGTCAGCGGTATGCCATCAACAATGATGGGCCAACTGATGGGCGCGCTCAACAACCAGCAACTACTGGACGATCTGAACATCAATATTGAGTCCCTGCCTGGCGGCTTCGAATGCAACGTTGACGAGGTCATCAAGCACGAGTTGCGCATGGAGGGTACGCTCGACTTCAACTTCAGCAACGCCAACCATCAAAACATGCCGCTGCAACAGGAGGTGAACAACGCTCCGCCTGCGGGGGCACCACCGGCGTACTCCACCACGGTGACGACACCCTCCTGGGTGCACTAACATTAGGACCACTGGAGGATCTAAGGTAGGACCCAGTTAACTTGTAGCGTGTCACCCTTAAGTTTGTCTAATTTTTGATGTGCTTCTTTCGTTGGGCATGCATCGTAAATCGTCCGCGTCAAAATTTAATAATTCCCGCGGGGGTGGTAGTAGTGGTGACTGGCAATTTTACGGCTCAATTATGCGTCGCCTCGACGCTCGTCGGCGGCGGCGTCTTGGGTCGCGCCCTCCCTCGACGCTTGTCAACTTATCAACTCGTCATCGCGGCGCCGGCCCGAAATTGTCAGCTCTTTAAATTTTATATTCAATTTGCGCGCGCTCGCCGCCGAGATAAAACTGAACGCACTCGGTAGTCCCGCGGCAAATTTGATTACATTAAGAAGTCGTCGACGGGGTGGCGGCGGAACGGACATGCGGCGTTATAAAAAGTTCGCGAGTCAACTGTCACATCAGCGCGACGTTATTAGCTGCGCAGAAGAAAGGAAAACGAAAGTAAGAGTCGGAATTAAAGCGGGCGAAACTTTTGAATTAATTTGCCACATATTAAATCAAGAGTGGATGGGGGGATGCACCTTTACGCTTCGTAAAAACTTGCGTTAAGTTGGACTCGAATTTGTTTTGCTCGATTTTCAACAGCGGCAGCAAAGTTTTTGCATTGGGATAAATTATCATAAGTCAGAAACTAATAATTCGATTCTGATAAAACGTACATTTATAAAAAGAATATTAAATTATCTTTCGAATGCGGTAAACGAAATGCTTTTAAAAATGTCTGTGCTTATAGCATTTGGAGATCGGGAAATCAAACTAACTATTCTCAGTTTTTATACGGCAGAGGAATTAAATAAATGAGTGTACGTTGGGCAGCACTTAAGACGGTACATTTTTAACTTCGGGCGCGTTTTCTTTTTTTTTTCTCCTTAATCGGACAGACGGAAAACGCTTTACACTTAAGATTTTCTTCACTCTAACCATTTTCTACAACTTCCAACACTGACAAGAAGCCTGAGACAAATTAATTAATAGTAAAGGCATGAATTAATTATATTCTTACACTGGCAAGTGTAAACAGGTTGTTAATTTTCATTTTTACACTCGGTTACACCGGAAAATGGCGCACATTTGGCTTGCGTCTGCCGCGGCGCATAATCACTCAAAAGCGATGTCAAACGATTATAAATTAAACATGAGCCGACCGCAAAATGAATGAACGCCGCCCACGCGGTTGCGTCTGATGGCGTTAGCGTTACGTTTTCGGCCTCAATGCACCCTCATCCCGAGATGAAGGAGTGTTCGATCGATTAAGATTTTACAAAACGCAAAGCATCTTTCAACAGCCGTAGGGTTGGGGGAGCGGAAAGCACATTTCATATGCTTCCGATACTTATGGCTTTGCCGATAATGACTGGGCAGAAACGCCGGACGGAAAAATAAGCAGCCTTCTCAGAAAGGATGCAAGGAGCTGTGCTGTATTGTTACAGCCCTTCCGCTTCCCCAACGAGAGCTGCTGCATCATTTATATTAAAAGTTTTTATGCGCGCGGATGAGAAATAATGCGTGCATCTTTGCTGCTTCACAGGGATTTACCAACGCAGAGGACGAAGATAATGGAGTATTTTTAAAATGTTTTCCTTGCAAAAAAATCAATATCTTGTGTAAAAATGTTATCTCATCTGTAGATACTAAAATAAAACGAAATAATGATTTTAAATTCAATCTGAAGTAGTAAATAACATTATTTCATAACGAATTTACATAATTTCTTATCATTCAAAGGAAAAAATTACAATTTTTGATTCGCAGATACAAGTAGATGCAAATCATCACCAAATTGAATTTCGTACATTGAGTTTCCACTTTCTTTTTCGCGTTTGCCAAAAAATTAAGCTCAGTTTTACTCCTGCGGGTAAACAATGTTTAACACAGCGTCGGTTTTCGTGCGGATTGCGGTCGGACGGCGGGCGCGCTCGAGACAACCCTCAACCCTGCGCGTCGACCCTCCGAAACTGAAACTTGTTGCTTCTGAGCAACCCCGACAGTTGTACACGTTCGGCGAACGTTGTATCGTGTACAACTCTGGGGCAACGTGCGCTCCACTCCGTGTCGGGAAATTCGATGGGGTGAAAACGTGCGGCGAGGCGCGCTGTGGAATGAAAGGAATTTCGACTACCAAGTTGTGATTCACTCCTGACGGCTTTATTCGCTCTCAAGCGCAAGCAAGGTGTTAAAATCATTTCATTTCTTCGATTTTCATCCGCCTCGAGGTGTATTAAAAAGTACGAGTAGAATGAACGGAAAAGAAAATCAAGAGGGCAAATGCCGGGGAAGTTGTTAGTTATTCGATACGCAATCTTACATCACGTCTCGTTATGTGTTTCCTTTTGGTATATGCAAGAATTATTGTTTCAGATTTGTATTCAGCTTATATTAATTTACAGTACTTTTTCGCAGCGTTTTTTCTCATATAATTATTTATTTTACTTTTTGTGTCAATACTTTCAAAATTGAAGTTTGCAAGCTGGCGATTTTGACAACATTTAAATCGTTAAATCGGCAATTTATTGCCTGGATTTGTTCCTCTAGAGCCGTTTGAAGCTTGCTGGTTGATGTCCCTTTGCGCTCCTAACTCGCTAGTGCAGTTTTTTCCGCTGCACAATTCATTACTTGCACTTTTCCAGAGCGCTCTTTATTGTCAAACTCTTTATTGGCCGTTCATTAATTACGCGCCAGGCATTAGACGGATTTGGGCGCTGCCACTTTATTGCGTTCCACCCCGATGCGCAAAACAGAAAAAAGTTAACAAGATTTAAAACCAACCCGACCAAAAAAGAGTTCAACGTTCTGGCTTGAAAAGCTCACGAACTGAAAACTTGCTGCTGTATTTCGGCGCGCACATATTGCAAATACGCTTAGAAAGTTATGACTTATGTGTAATTCGGGAAAGATTGGCTCTTGAGACAAATGAAGACATAATACAAATGCGATGCGATTGCCGGATGTGGAGACGAATTTTATCGACCTTCGATAAGTTTTCATTCGCATTGAGGAGGTACGCTCAGCGAGCGTACGAAGAAATGAAATATGATGAGATGTGACGGACGGAGTGGTGGAAATCTCCGCTCGTTTTCAATTTATTGCGCGCACTCGAATAAAAATCTAAACTCGTATTCGTTCAACATGAAAATATTAATGCGCGCAGAGGGAGATTTATTCTGCCGGCGTACTTTCGCAAACTATTGCGTTTTTTTACTGCTTTTTGTTCGATCCGGGCGGTTTAAAGCAGTGCAAGAGCAGGCGGTCCACGAGAAATTTGAATATATCGTGGATGGGGGGGGAAGCGTAGGTTGGCGGCGGTCGGCGTCGGGGTGACAAAGATAGTCTCGTTGCCGAAATTTGAATATAGTGGCGCGGCAGTCGCAACTCGTTCGCGGCTATCTCGACTTCATATCGCGACGTCTTCATATCTCGGGGGCGGCAAGTTGGGGCGGGCGTGTGTAATATAATTTACATAATGCACGTTATCGAACTCGCGGGGTAGGAAATATTCGGAAAAGTTTATAAAGCGCGAAGGTCGTTGCCGAGCACTCACAGAGATTAATGTCGGAGGGCTGTAAAAACCTATGCGAGGTGGTGCGAGGAGGCGGCGCGCGGGAATGGAGTAACGCCGGCCAGATCGGGATCGGAAACGCGGAAAGACAGGAAAGACAGATAAATTGATATATAGAGACGTGCGTGCTGTGTGCGGGCGTACACCGTTGATTGAGATATATCGGGGGCATGACGAGCCAACATCGCACCCCCGACCAGCTCGACGCTGGTCGACATGGTCATCACTCATAATTTCATTCAATGCTAAGTGTTTTAGGACTTACATTTCAAATGAATTTTCCTGTAACCTAATATGGTGAAATGTTCAAATCAAAAATTTTAATTCAACTTATTACATTCATCGAATAACTATACCTACTTTTATATAAATGTAATTATAACTTTTCGCGTTTTCACATGCTTTTGTGCCTCTTGGGGATGGCTTGTTAAAGGTCTAAGGACTAAGGGACGACGAACTTTCACCTTGTACTGAAAATCCCCAAACACGAAAAGTTGGAAGTATAATGAGGACCGATCGGATGTTTTGACTAAACTGAAAAGTGAAAACGTAAACGCAAACGAGAGTGAAAATTAGCCATTAATGAGTTGTTTTGAAAAACACGTGCGGGTGTAGCGTAGTACTCAGGACAAATTAATAATTGATCCTTTTGAGAAAACGTTGGCCTATTAAACCTTTGGTCAAAGTTGTGTTGAGAAATTTGAAAGGAAACCCGATTTCTGATGTGAAAGTAGATTAAAAGTTTTCCTTTGCCTGCAAGTCATGTTACAAGACGTTCAAGACTTGATTGCCTTTATTTCTTCGATCTGTCCTGAATTGCTTCCTTGGCTCGCTCTGGTTTTATCAGCGGCCACTCATCTACCTAATTCTGCATGTTGGAAGATAGGGCGGTGGCAGTGCGGCGCGCTCGTAAATTGATACACTCGCTCGATTCGTATTAATGACGAGCCTTACTTTTTAAACGACAGTTTTATTGTGGCTTCTTAAGATAACTGTAGGCAATAATGGTCCGGTCCGGGGTGGCCGCCGCTGCCACCGCCGCCGAGTAAAGTAACAGTCAGTCAGTCTCGACGTCTAGCTGTAAAAAGCACGGGCGGTTACTGTTAGCGCGGCGCGCATCCTGCCTTCCGACGGCTCCTGGCTGCTTGCTGCCGAGCGGAGCGGTGGCGGCGGGCGCGCGGGGGGCGTCGTGTCGGTGTGGCGCCAACCGGCTCGGTGGCGCCGTGCAAAGGGCGAGGAGGGCGCGAGGGGGGTGAGGGGGAAAACGCAGCGTAAGTGAAAGCTCTTCGGGCAATCGGCCAGACCGCCGTTAGCGTCGCTTTCCTCTTTTCTATCCCTCCGAAAAGTACACTTTTATATACCTTCTGGACAGAGAAAAAACTGGTCATATCCTACGATATTGCCGAAATATTTCCTGTGTTAATTATAAACTTTTTAATTTTTTTTCTTAAAAATACGAAATAATGTTCATATTTTTGAAATTCCCTCAAATTGGTTAAGGTATACAAGTCGCAGGACATGCAATAAAAACGGGTTCATAATGTTGGTGGAACAAGGCGATATTATAACTTTCAGTTACCTGTTTCCTTGCCAGAACATTCGTATGAAAATTTGCGGAAGGTTTCTTCGAGTTTCGGCAAGACAAATACAGATACGAGGCAAAAAATTGCAGAAATACGTAAGTCGTGCATGTCGTCACACATGTTAGCCAGAAGAAGTGGGAACGGCAGGCGCCGGGGGTGGGCGCACTGCCTCGACGAACTACTACCGAGATTAAAAATGTAACCGACTCCGGTGTCCAATATTTATGTAGGCCACAAATAGCTTTCTCCCGCATTGCTCTTTTCTGATGTCAAAACGACGATACACGATCACGTCGGGACGCGAAGACGTTCGGGGGCTGCAAACGACGACGTTAACGCAAACGGTCGCTTTTTTCCCTGCTGCCGTTTTTTGCCGTCTTCCACTCGCTGAGGGAAAATAGTTTCGTTACGTATGCGTACGTAACTGCGCGCTACCACCGTCGCTGCCCTCAGTGTGTGTCTTTCTGTGTCATATACCGGTCGTCCTGCAGGACGCCAATCGATTAAGATAATATGCTTAGTCTAGCAGGAAAGCTTTTATGCGAATCCGCGAATATGAAAAGTTTTATATATGAGCATCACCGACGGCGGCGGCGGAGGCGATGGCGGCGTCGAAGGGTGGCGCGTCCTTCGATCACCGCGCGAGGCATCGCCAAGTTTTAAGCAGGCATTTAGAGTCCGACATCGTAAAACTCTCGGCTAACGGTGAGGTCGGATAGTTTTCTACCGCCCCCTTGTTGCCACCCCCGAAAAGTTACCTAAGTAGTTATGTCACCCGCCCATGTAATAACATGAAAAGGGGATAAGAAATGCTTCGCTTTCTTGTGATTCGGATTTTAGTAGATTAGTTTTGACTTTGCAAGGTTGTTTAAGACAAATTTTTGAATGCCGCTTCATTGCTTTTAGAAAATAGGAACCTTTTGTTACGGTATTTTAGTACGAGACTTTTATTTTATTTCAAACTTTGATATTGTTTTTGTATGATATAATTGTATTAAATTTCTTTCTTGTTCCAGATTGGTTCCTCAACAAATGGCCATTTTGAAATAGCAACACGTCTATCGGGTATTTATTTACACACATACACAGCGTGTTCTTCTAATTGTCGTCATGATCAGTCAGTGAATCCTGCAGGAAAAATGTGCGGACTTTTGTGAAATTTAAGCAAATTGCAAAGTTTTGATATGTTTACAAATGCGTGCCAGTCTCACTGCACACGGAATACCAGAATCCAGCATGCGTATGCGCAAACATGAAAAACATTGCACACTATAACAATATAGTAAAGATAGATTAAAACAATGATCTCGTGTTTAAAAAGTTGAAGTAAAATATGTAAAAGAGAAGATACTATAACTACAAACTAAAAAAACTACGCTCATTAATTAATTGTTTGTACAGATATATTAAAACTATCTACAATTATACTGCTACGTCCCACGTAAACTAATTAACCTATAGAGTGTCAATTTTACGGATGTTTGCCATCCGGCTTTTATTACCAATACGTTTCGATTGGAAGGAAAAACTAAATCAGAAAACAGAAGTTGAACACAATATTCACATATTGCTTTGTATGTGCTGTGATGTTTTCAAATCGATGTTTATGAATGAATTTGCGTTCAAACGGTTGCAAAGTCTGCGAAAATGTATCCTAAAAGAAATTTGGATTTTTTTTTTCTATGTGGTTTTGCATTCTTAAGTTTGAACGATGACGATGAGATTACGTGTAACGTATATTGAAATTAATTTTAAATTTTTTAAGAGTAGATAATGAAACAATTCTATTGTTGTGAAGTCGACGACTGTACATAAACTATAAATAATTGTAAATTTACGTTCAGCAGGAGATACGGTGCCATTTATTTAATAAATTTCTCAATTCACGATTTTGGAACCATTAATGAAAACAAAAGCTCAAAACGTGTCAATTTATTAAAGTTACTCAAATTTACCGAATAGGAAGTCAATTTAAAATTTAGTTTGACCTGAAACAAAACAATTATGAACCGACAAGAATGAAAGTAAGTTTAAACTTGCAAAGATTTATTGAAAATTTATTGTAAATAGACAAATAGAAGTAATATTTATGCGTAATGCGAAACATGGTAAGGAGAGGGTTTTAGTCATGAATTTCGGGTGCTTCGACCATATTTTGTTAATTTTCAATTATAATTTAGTTAATAAACGTGCTGCGAAAGCGATAAGTTCATTTTTCTATAGTTGCATACATAATTTAAAACATATTTATAAATTCACTTAATTTTTCTTTGAATAAGTAACTTGTAAAAATTGTTGTACCATATTAAGATTTAAATTAGTTTAAGTTTTTACTTGTATGAAAATACAATACGTAGAATTTAGTTCTTAATTCGTCATAACTTCATTTTGCCTAAGAATGTTTTTGTTTTTTTATTAATTTCGTTTTTTAGTTGATACAAATTTTCGTTTATTTCATTTTATATGATTATGTTGAAGAAAACAAACATTCTTGTCATTACGGTACTGGTCATCAAGTTATTTCACGTCTATTGCACGACAGATGGCGCAACCAGCGTCATTTGGTATGTGGACCGCCTAGTTGTATTTGTAAAAATAATAGAACATTATAAACATTATTACGACGATGTAGCTGAGCAAACAATGGATACGTACCTAAAACCGCATGTGATTTACGACCTTTGACTTCTGAATTGTTTACATGTTTCTTTGTAAGTCAAAACTGCAACATACGCACATGCAACTCAGTACATACCCACACACTCACACACAAAACACACATGCGCAAGAAATTAACTGTACACTATAACTTTAAATGTAAATTATATATTATATATGATGCTGGAAAATTTTAGGATGAATGTACACCTGTAAAGAAATAAACATGTTGAATTATTAATTAAGCCAATTGGCAATTGATTGCGATTACCTCTGCGTGCACGGGGGCGGCGAAACGTCTCTTCCCGATTTTTATTTATGTTGTTTTTATATTTTTAATAATGTTGTCGACAATCGATGGCGATTGTAATTACGCGTATGATTAAGTAATTAAGCTAGCGACTTCTTTGTGCAGAGCTGATCGATTGGTTTTCATTTTTGTTACCTGGTCGATTAAAAAAACGACGGGTAAAACGACGTAATGCACATTAACGATATGTATAGAATGTATAGCTCTATTAATTAATATTGTAATTATGTAATTGATGATTTTTTTGTTAATGATTGAAATAATGAACCATTGTCTATTTAGTTTCGTTTTTTTATTTCTTTGATCCTTTGTGTGACATAGTGTATTCCTTAGTTTGAAATTTTGTTTTGGAAATCGTACCACTTTATCGCTAATAATGATTGTTATCATGTTACTAGAAAATGATGTGAAAACCCGCTACATGTCAATTGTTATGATATAATGATGTAATCCAATGGGAAACCAAACCGAAAATGTACTCGGTTACGTTGTTAATGCGAATTTTAAATGGTTTCAATTTTATTTCGATTTTAAGTCAATGAAAATCGTCCATGAATATAATTACTCAGGAATATACGTTGAAATTGGAAGTTGTTGTGGGCGAATATTTTTGAATGCATTGCCATAAATTTCTTTCTAATACTTTAAAAAATCGAAAATAACGAAAGTGAAGGGGAAATGCGAATCTTGGAAAATGTATGTTTACCTGTATAAATAAAATGGACGTGTGCTTCTTCTCGCATGGTTTTTTCTGCTGTTGCGTATTGTTGTTAACAGCGTTGCATTATTTATTTACGATCCTTATGTGTACATATAAATTAATGTACGATATTATGTATAATGTATAAATATATATGCAACACAAGCGATGAAATGTGATTTTTGAGTAAAATAAACAAATAGCCGCTGGTCTATCTATATTTCGGGTTTTCTTGACCCTTCAACATCCCATGCTAATTTTTTTTTTAGAAATTTGACGAATGCCATCTAATTATTATTTCTGTGACTTAATTAACAACTACATTTATTTTTTCTGCTCTTGTCAAATAGAAATATTAGATTCTCAGGTATTATGAAGAGTCCAAGTCAAACTTTAATATTCAACCGCACACATTTCATAAGCACGCGAATGATGAGAAAACTTTTCCTCTTCGTGTCTTGAAATGCAAACTTTTCAACGTGCAAATTAAAAATTACTTTTTTACCCACTGTCTACGAGTTCAAAATAAAGTTGCTTTAGAAAGTTCAGGTGACAATGCCAACTGCACAATACCAAGAATTCATTAAAATTGTTCAAGAATTATTTGATATTGGAGTTAGTTTTTATATGGCTTATTACGATAATTCTTTTAGGTGTGGGCGCCTGTTATTGCGGGTTTGAAAAGTGTAATAACAATACTCGTATGTAGCCAGATGAGAACTATTGGTTAAGCTGATTTAAATTGTCAATTGGGCTCATATATGTGAAGTTAAAGCAAAAAATTACTAAGGTTATTACATTATCTCCCTTCTTCTACAAGAAAAAGTACAAATTTCAAATTTTAATTTATTGTCCATGAATTGATGGAGAAAACCTACAATACAGTTTTTTAGCACTTTTCTTACAAACGATTAAAAATAGAAGAAAATGGTTTTCAGGTTTGTATTTAGGGTAGAATTATACATTATATAGCACTTTAAAAATTTCAGTTTTTAACAATTATGTAATAAATGAAAAGGGTCAATATCTTGAAATCAAATTAAGATATTGCAATCAAATTTGGTTTACTGAATGCCAGGCATTGTTTTAAATCAGTTTAGAAAGTTTAGTGAAAATCCTAGATGTGGTTTTACTTGATCCGTTTTTATTTTACCACCTACTTTCCGAAGCTATTGAAAAGTACTATATCGATTCTCGTTTTTCATTTTCTCCTAGCGTAAAAAATAATTTTGGACTGAAAAAATAGTCAATTGTAACTCCTTGACTGATTTCGAGTGGTTTTTAATTGATCTCAAAAATTTAAAAAAAATTGCCCTTTTAGAGATACTTATCACGGCATGAACAAAATGAAAGTTCTTCTTTAACTATTAGTTTCCGAAAAAAGTCGTGTCGGAAAATGTTTTAAGCACATGTTCTATTTGAAATTTTTAAAATATTATTTAATTAAGAATTGGATACTGAGCATAATAATGTATTCGGTATTTATTTATCTCCATTAACGACCAAGGTAATTGAATATTAAGTAGCCCTGGAAGAACACATTTCACTTAAAGCCTTCTGCTGGGAATATTTGGTGCAACTTAGTGAAAAATAATTTTAAAAGAGCATTAATAAAAGCTTTTCTATTCTATAGTGTTATTAGTTTATTTTAACTTTCAATTGAACAATTTTACAGATTTTTTTTACTTACAAGATGTGAATGAAAAATTCAGAAGAAATTTTATTGACCAGCTACGGACGCAATGAAACTTGTTAACGATTGTAAAACAAATAGGTAAAGCGGTCGCCTCTAAACTTTGGTAACAGCAGAAAGTTGGAAATATTGCTTGCGTTTTAAGTGCATTTTATCATATGTAAGAAATGAAAACTACTTCGGCAGAAGTCGACAGGCAACACAAATTGCTCACTTCTACCCTCATGGTGCGGTATATGCGGCCACTCACATCTATTACTATATTTCTATTACGCGGGGTCCTGGAAGAGGACCACACAACTGTAAACCGTCCGAAGTCGTAAGAACTTTATGGATGGCAAGCGGAGGTGTGGTGCGGATAGGAGAAAACCAGGATCAGCGCGTGGCAAAGCGCATCCGTTTGCTCCGATTTATAGTCCAGATAAAAATCATGGAACATGCTTTGCGGAATTTCTGTTATTACAAATGAAATTTTATTGTCTTTAATCTGTTTCATCAACAGATTCGAGTATGGAAAATGCGCGCCGAGTCATTTTTCGCTGGGTTATTAATCCTATATTTTATTACACACCACATACGCAAATTATAGAAATCTAAAAATTGATGTTAAACATCTGAAAGGCAATAAAATCAGGAATACAATCTTTTAATTTTAAAATTTCTTTTTTATGCATTGCCGAATTCTCTTTTTAGAAGCAAGCTCATTTACAACTTCACAACCCCATCGAAGATCCATCTCATCTTGCCGCTATCCATCTATTCGCACAGCGGCAGCAATCCATCCATCTGCCGAATATCTCAACTTTTCTATGTTTTCTATGCTCGTCGAGGCGGACGGCTAACGTATGCGCGTATAATTCCATTGAAGAACAAGTTGCCGCCGCTCGCCGCCATCATCAGTCACCGTCAGCATGCCTTTTCCGCCCACAACAATGCGCCTTTTGTCGCCTTCGTGATCCCGCGCTCTGGGGGTGCACTTTTCCAACTTCTTAAACGCGCTTTTCTTCAAAATTTCAACCACCAAAAAAATTACGGTTTGATACTCGCGAGTGGTTTTCAAAGGCGTGGATTAACGAACGGTTACTCCGAGTAAAACTCGCCGTAATTAATGGCCTAATTGAAAAGTTGGGCGATTTTTAATAGCCGTAATTTGTCTTCTTCGCACCGACTGCTCATCTTGAAGTTGGAACATTTTTCTTTGCGATGCAGTTGAATGCCGAATAAACTAATAAAACTTTGATTTGTTACGCGGTACGAAGTTTTGCAATAATATGCATCACGGTGTGATTATTTTTATGGAAAAATGTGGGAAGAATTTCAAGAAAGTGCAAGCAAAAGTGCAGGAATGTGGCAAACTCAAGATGAAAAGATGACTGCTACTGCGAAAAGGGACAAAAGTTGTCAAAGCAGCCACTTTACGAGCGATTTATTATGAAATATCGGTGATAATAAATACAAACTTTAAATTGGTTCCAATTGCCATTAAGGAAAAGCCACATTTCTTCTGTGCGACAAGAGATAGAAGATTTATATACATTAAGCAAAAGTCACCGATTAATATTCACACTTTATTTATTTATAACCAAAAGAACAAACAAAACATCTTATGTATCTAAATATGTATATCATATATTTTATATTATGTATAATTTACTAAACATCATATCGATTTGCGTTTGTTTCATTTTTGTCAATATGTATTTAAATGTTTATTACAGCATCAATTATAACTGCATTTTGAATGAGATTCTGATTAAAACGTGTTATCAAGAAAGATGTGTGAGTTATTTTAGATATTAGACACGAGTGCAATGGAAAACTGCGCTTCAAAGATGACTTTCGCGAACTACTCTTGAATAAGTTATCTTATTGCCTCATTATGCTTGAGTTCTCCTTCTTTAGCATCTAGAAAGACCAACTAAATCAACAGGTGATTGTGGGTCGACAAAAGGTGACACCAGATATGTGGACATTTAGATTCAACGCCCAAATTTGTTTGAAATCGTCGGATATTTTTGAGCAATAATCAGTTGAACATCAACGAAGTCCTCGAAGATCTCAATCGACAAACCAATTGGATAAACTTACGCGTTAACAATTTCCATTGACATCGAATCGAAAATAGTCCTAACGTGAGTGTGGCGTACGGTGTGTAACAGTTTAATTCGAAAACGTGTGTTCGACGTGGTCGACTACAGAAAAGGTGCCTGCTGGAATTGATTTTTGGTTGTACGACTCCATCGATATGTAACACGATATGACCGTTTTGCAAGTCTTTACTTTTGGCGCTACAGCGTGCGAATCCGCTAAGCGAATCGCCTAGACAAAGCGCTTGGCATAAATCGCTTAAATGTTCGCACGAATACCAGACACAGACAATGGTCCGGTTCAAAGTTAAAGCTTTTCCTCTCTCGTTTGATCTACTGCTAAATAATTCGCATCGAAGAGAGTCGTAGCGTTAATTCCAAGCATAAAAGCAGCTAACTTGCATAATTTGTAATATTTGCGTGAACATTAATTAATAAACGTTATTGTTACAATATTTTTGCGATCACTTTACTTCATTAAAACGAATGAAAAAATTCAGGTAAAACTGGAGCTACCTATATATGTATGTATGTATGTATGTACGTACTTAAAAAGTTTCACAATCATTAATTTAAGAATTGTAATCAAGTGAAAAAATACCCTGAACTTTTACAATATAAGCTAATTCCTCAATAAAGTCATGAACAACAAATGTTTAATACAAATTTAAAGCTAATAATGCTAAAAACGTTAGAATTTACTCACTGTGTTTGTTTCACATTGCATTTCAAGTTATTCTTTGCCATTTTAAACATTTCTTACTCGGTTTCGTTATCAGTTTGTTACTTTTGTTTCACTTATAATAATAAGACCCTGTTTAGATAAAGGCTATGAATTGATACATTTCTCATACCACAACTTGTTCTGCTTCCTGCAGCTTGTTCTCAGTGATTGTGATTGAATAGAATCTGCTCTGTCGCGTCGTTCATCTTCGACACGAAAAAAATACATTAACATTAATAGTTTTCTGGTTGATCAGGGTTTTATCATGTGGAATTTGTATATAATTTGTTCTCTCGCATCCGCTTTGTTATCTTTGCATTGCATCAGTTTTCTCTTCAACATTTACATATAAGATATATAAAGACTTGATATATCAATATATTGATACTCTTTGTTTGCTTCGATAGAATAATACTTTGTAAAGGTGTAACTTTCAGAAGTATTTGAATATGCGGTTATTAAATGTGGTGGTTGGTGAGTGGTTGAATTGGTAATTCAGTCACAGCATCTCTTAGACGTTTGTTTCATAGATATCTTATGTTTTGTTATTAATCGCCTTTCATTCGACGACGAAATTTAATACAAAAATTGAAAATATATTTTCATTTTTATATATAATATCGTATTTGTTTCTTATATTTTTTTTGTTTCTCTTTTGTTTTGTTTTATTACAACAAACGTATCTCTAATTATTATTCATATTCATATGTAGTATTGAATTATCAAATACATTATCGCTTACATTACAATCTTCGCCTCCAGAAAACGTTGCATTCGAGAACAGTGTTCATTGCTCAAGTTCGTCCGATTGATTGCTGATTTTCGCTCTTGCTTAAAAGTACGCAACATTTAATTTTACTTCTCTCCATTGTGGCGAAAACTACACATAAAAGCAAATGCTTCCTATTCGCGCTGCTTACCAGTTTGAACGTTAACGTTAAAAATTATCAACTTTGGCACAAAATCATCATTTTTTGTAATTTTCAGCGTTTTTTTCTTCTTTGTTTAGTAATCATCAAATTTGTATCACTAAGCGTGACATCCTAGTGTCTATACAATTGTGATAATGATTAAAACACTGACGATTATTTCCGATTTTTAAGTAATTAATGATATTTATAACACAAAGGGATAACAATAGATTGTCCCCATTTATAGTCAAATGTTGAAGATTCGGGTTGCAAAATCTGAATTCATCCGTCTGTCCCTTATTCGCCCCGCTATGATATGATAACAAGATAACTAACTATTATTATAATTATAGTACAATCGAATACGACGTCTACGGTTAAAGTGAGTACAAGGTCCGTTCCCGTTTAACGACCACTAAGCAGGAACTACCTGTACGTGCTTATTTAGCCATGCTGTCGCTAATTAACATCGTTCCGCTAATTGTCTGAATATCAAAATATTGCCCTTTTTGGTACGAACCAAGTTGAGCTATCAGGTGGCGATTTCGTGCTATCCTAACTCGCAACATTCACGATTATCAGACATCTCTTGCAACTGTAGTTATTGCCTTCAATTAATTGTCTTTGAGAATGACCAAACACTTCCATACATAGTAATACCAGTGCAGAAAGTGCATTATTATTGCCTAAGAACGATAACGTCTACACGTAGAATAAGTATTACATCGATACATAAAATTAACGCTAACGTCGTCATAGTTTGTACTTTGATTACAAATTAATGTCTTTTTTATTGTTAACACGCTCGCCCTGCAGACGGCAAGGAAAGCACGAAATGCCCACACGTTTCATATTTATTCATACATTGCAAACTGGCTAAGAATTGAAATGTGTTTTGCACTCGTGGAGTGGAAGAATGGGCGAAAATGCGAAACGCAGGAAGAATGAAAAGTTTGGCACAAAAGTTACTTGATTTTTGGAAGAAATTTCTTGCTGGAATACAACTAATCACTAAATTAAACTTCGTAAATTCATCAAAAATTACTTATTTCAATGTTACTTTGGCAACTTTTCTTGCTTTGTTTGCTCGATTAAAAAAAATCAAATATTTATGTATATACATTATGCACAGCCTAAAATTGCACAAAAAATGCCAACTGTCGCTTACGCGGATGGCAAATCAAACTTGAAACAACAAATAATTCATTCCCACTTCCACTTTCATCAATGTCATGATTAAAACAATGATAAATTCCTAAAGATTTCAATCGTCTTGTCGCCAAACAACGCAAAGCCAGCGTTGTGCCATTTTGTTAATTGTTAGTAATTTTGGTCCATTTTTCATAGTGTAGTAAATAATATCCATTAACAACATTTAATCTTCGTCAAACGTGACATGTATTCATAATTCTTAAATTTCTCTCCTCTCCGCTGCTTAAACAGCTTTAATTTGTAATTTTCAGTGACGGGCTAAGCCCTAACGTTGACTAGAATCGATCAAATTCGGCTCCCTCTGTTCAAAACCTCCTTGCAGCCTCTTTCAGCCAGATGCACAGTTCATATTATAATCGTAGCCTAACAATACTTACAAATAAATAATTCTTATTAAGTACTAATGTAATCACACACGTTTTATTTTAAAATGTACTTGCAGTGAGCCGGTATTCGCACACTGGGCAACATTTCATGATGCCGATTATGATCGTTTTCATTTTCGCAGTATGAAACTTTGTTTCAATGCTTGCACGTTTCGAGAATCATCTCAGTAAATTAATGAATAATAAAGATACTTAACAAATATCTTTGGCTTGTTCCCATTTTGCGTATTTATTTTGTATGTTTCAGCGCTTGTTTGCTTCGTTTCGAGCTATTGAGCTCGCTTCAACAAATATTGTCAATAATTTTAGATTGACTAGACTTGCGTTTCTTTCAAAATTCGGCATTGCTAAGATTCGGCAATCGTCTCAAAAGAAAATGATTGCGTGAACTTTCGTCCAGCGTAATAGATATCCAGAGGGTATTTAGCGGTGGTGATGATTAGTAGATGTGGGGATGACGGTACCAGACGAGCTCTGGAGGCTCGTTGTGGTGCGGCGCGTGCGGATGTATCGGATGTGGTTGCAGATAGTACTGGGGCGGCGGTGGCGGCGGCGACATCGGCGGCAGGAACACGCGCGGCTCCCCGACGGCAACATCCCGTTGACACATCAGTTAATGTATCGGCGCCTTCACGATATGATTCGGCGCGATGTAGTGGTAACCAGGCATGGGCAGACCGGCCGTCTCCATCGATATCCTAAAGCAGACATTCAAAATTAGCATCGAGACAAGTTGACCAATAAACAAAAGCATGCATTGTATGTTCTGCTTCCAAACTTCAATCTTGAACGGGATAGAGACTGCAAAATAGGTAACTTCTGAAAACCACCAAAAACATTGTGTTTTTCATGGTTGATCCAGAGCTTAAAATTTTCATTTTTGGGGGGATTATTATGGAATTGGTTTTGTCTTACCGGGAATTTGCGTTTCCGTTGATGGTTTAAATATATTTTTGATTTGGTTGATGTGATGGTGATGTTGGTCTTGGTTGATAATTTTGGACAGTGTTTTGTAATTTGGTCGAAGGCTTAAGAGTAAAAGCGTCAGATTTGGGAAAAATCACATGGAACGTACGCACGGAAGCCCGCTTTACTATGCCACCTAAATTAAACCAAATACTGTGTGTAGTGTTGTGTGTGAACGTACAGAAAAACAAAGTGCCTTTACACAGATTATTGTAATGTATTTCATAAATTTCATTAATATTTATATTCATTATACATTGACAAATATTAATAATCCAAAGATAAAATAATAAAAAATTGAGCACAAACTAAAACAGGTTTTTTGTAATTAAATATTTCAAACAAAAAAGGCATATCGGTGATTGAGTGTTCGTTGTAAACGACACTACTCATCATCACCAGCGACTGATTTTACAATTAAAACGAAGGAAAGCTAAATAAGCACTCGCTTAAGAAACTAATGAAAACGTTATCAAATCTTTTGTCATGAACGAATCGTTCAAGAGTGTTATTGATATGTTAAAAGTCGAAAACTAGTGCTAGGATGCTGAGACTACAAAATTGATTGAACAAACTCGACTAAGTGCAGTGAAATTACAAATATTATAAAATATTATGGCAAAATCTTGCGCATTACTGTCGTACCTAATGTTTAACGTTATAACTTAACATATTTACTTTTTATCATGTTTATCTTCTCTAACAGTTACACGTAATCAAAAAATAAACTACCCTGCAGCGCATATTCCAATCGTATCTGTTGTTTATATTCACGTCTTCGTTAAGCCGTGTCTTGTCAATCACTTAGCAAAAGCTTTACCTTAACGTTTACCATATTACACAGCATATCATAACTTTTTGGTACTAAACAAATGTCTATAGAATATATTTATCGTACTTATTGTAATAAATTTCGCTTGTGAAGAGCTACTCCTGTTTTAAACGATTCTCTCCCTGCCACTTACAGTCTACTTATTCGTCCCACGGTTTGTAAATTTGGTTGTTTGTCTCCTCGTATTTTTGGTAATTTTTCATAGAAAAAAGCAAAAATTATATAAAAATATCTCTAAATTGGGCGACGACGCTTATCAATGATCCACTCGCCCCCTCCACTGTAATCATTCTCAGCTTTCTAAGACAACTTAAACCTTCCGTTTTGTCTCCGAATAATGCTCGTTATGTACCTAAATTGTTCTGACAATATGTTGTCGTGCTTGTGTCCAGGTGTATAATGTAAGTGAAAACTGTAAAAATAAAACGTAAATTCTAAGCGCGCGCTCCGCTAGCGTATTTTTTTGGTTTTCGGCGGCGGCGGCTTTGCTGTCGTCGGGCATTTAGCGTCGTCCGGAGCAAATCCTCGTTACTCTCGCTACTAATACGGACTGAACTTATTGCGCTCGCTCTTCAATTTGGAATTCTCCGAGGCTCCCCCTGACGAGCTCAGCCGCGGCGCGTAGCCGCTCTTGTGGCTGCGATGCACTCCGGTGGTTTGCACTGGCGGCGAGCCACCAGTCTGCGCGCCGAGCAGCTCGGTGAGTCCGCCGAGCGCGCTCAGGCTGGTCAGCGCGTTGAGGGCGCCCGGCTTCGCCAGCAGCTGGGCGAGAGGAATTGCACTGGCCAGGGGGGAGGCGGATGCTTGGCTGGATGCGCCAGTATTCGGGGAGTTTTGGGCCTCAAGGTTAGCTTTCTGCAGCTCAACACTGTGGAGGAAGGAACAACACATAAAAGGAACAAATGTAATATACGCAATCGTTGATTGTCTTTTTTCTCTCTCCTCTCGCTCGGTTAAAATAAAGCGAAAAAAATCGGTCGGTGCAGTAGAGGAAGTCAAAATTAATACAAACAAACTTGGATTGAATGAAATTTAGTATTAATTGGATCGTGATTTGATTTTGAGGGCACAAATGATGTGTTATTGATTTGTTTGATGTTGAGCAAAATTAGGAAGCCGATGATGCGAGAAGGTGTTTGAACAAGCATCCAGTTTCGGATGGGACACAAAATTATGTCAAGAACACATCAAATGATGTCACTTTCTATATTTGCACTGTTCATGTCATATTTATATTCACACCCTCACCAGTATCCCCTACAAAATATATCTACACCCATCGTCGTGATTCATCATCAAAAATATTAAAACTTAACGAAAAGATTAAAGCAAATAGACGCGTGACTTAAAACTTAAATTCGTTCAAAACTAAACGAAACAGTTATAATTAATATCACAGTATTTATCACGAAGCGGCCACAGAAACACTTCCATTTCGACCGCGATTGGTTTGATGCCGGCTTTTTAGGATTTCGTACGATTATCTAGGTTTCTATATCTCACTTACCTCATGTTGATCAAGTACTGTGCCAGTGCCACACTGTCAGGATTTCCAGAAATGGTAATCGTGCGTTCGGTTACACCACTCTCCCGGTCATCGCAGTTTGAGATGCGAATCATCGCGCCGGAAATTTGTCGTATTTCAGCGATCTTAGTACCACCCTTGCCGATGACACAACCGATCAATTCGTTAGGAACGGTCATCTCGTGTGTCTGCTGGTTGGAGTTCTGTTGATTGCGTGAGTTTGATGTCCGTAACTGTGATCCTGCAAGCGCTGCCAATGCTAAAACCAATAAATTACAAGTTTAGCGAGAATCCTGGTATGCCTAAGCGGAGATTTTATTACCGGCTGGGTTCAAACCTCCGGTGTTTGTGGGTGCCAGACCACCTAGGCCCAAAGCGGCCAAACCTGCGAGTGGATTTTTACCAATACCACTCATCTGCAACAAATTAGCAAATTATACAGACACATCCTTGTGATGTTGTCCAAACTAGAGCATAACTAAACGTTAAACATTGAGATCACAACACACATAGTGGAACACATTCAAATAAAGTTTGAAACAAATTCGCAAAAGTCTGATTTGAATCTTGATTGATATCAAATCGCAACAATAATAATAGAACATTCATCCACTTTAAAATAATCAAAAATAAAAACTTGAATATGTATGTAAATATAAATATTCCTTTAACCCCTCGGCTTATCAGCGGTTGTCGTAATTGGTGCCCTCGAATTAAAATGCAGCTTAAGTTAAACAAGTTGTATCAAGATGGTTGTTCAAAGTCTGGCTTTAAAGAATCATGCACCTTGTTTGAGTCAATGTCAAAGTACAAGCAAATGAAAATTAACATTGTATTCTAGCAGTGAAGAGAGTTAGTTTCAATTAAAATTTACAGTGTTCATTTTAGGCTTGCCAATTTGCCAATAATCTAAAAAGATAAAAAAACCAAAAGGGTCACATGCACATGACGTACTACAAACTGTTTACTTAGGGGTAATCACAATGTTGGAATCGTTTAATTTCTAAACAATACGATTTAATTCAGCTTTGGTTTGTTGGAAGTTGGTGCGCTATTTGTTACATGACAACTACCCTCGACTAGAGCTTGGTTTGATTGGTAGAACCTGGGTCTTGGTTGAGCTGCGTTTTTGTTTATGGGGGGTGGTTGAGAATGGTTTTGAGATGAGAGATTGAGAATAAGAGAGGGCGAGAGGGGTCACCAATACGATCAACTTACATCTGGCATAAGATGCGCGGGCCCTAGGGCGGCCTGCAAGTGTCCGTTCTTGAGCGGCTCGAGCGGCATCAATGGCGCTACGGCGCCGGCGAGCGGATGGCCGAGGGGCAAGGGCGGAAACGCGCTACTTACGTCTGTGTGCGCCGGCACGGCGTAGTTGCCCTGGATGGTGTACGCCTGACCGCCGGCAAGGATCACTGGCCCACCGACTTGCGGCTTCGGGCGATAGGGGATCGTGGCACCTTTTGGTGGCGACTACAAAGAGCATATCATCAATATTTATAATCTATACATGTACAACAATAAACACTTACCTCAAGCATCACGTTGCAAATGTGATAGATGCACTGAGTGATAGCCTCACCGGTGCCGGAAATGGTGACAGCGCGCTCGGTAGAGTTGGGCAGCATATCGGACGCTACCTGAATAGAGACACCAGTGACCTCACGGATCTCCTTAATCTTGGAGCCGCCCTTGCCGATTAACGAACCACACTGACTTGCGGGGACAATTAGACGCAGGGTGATTGGTGGTCGCGGTACACCACCGCCGCTGCTAACGCTCCCAGTGCCGGAATTCAGGTCTTGAAATTGGGAGCACCACTGTTCCATAACAAACAAATATTAGTACATAAGATAATTTAATAATTTAAAACTCGACTTACCTCTTCAAACTTTTTGCAGATGAGTGTGAATGCTTTGAAAATTGCATTTGTGGAGCCGGTGACTGTGACAATGCGCTCAGGACATGAACCATCAGATATGTTGATTTTCGCTCCAGACTAAAACGTTTTATTAGTAACGAGATATTGCAATTTATGAAAATCAATGAAACTTACTTCTTCTCGGAATCGTTTGACAATTTCACCTTTTTTACCAATAATACTTCCCACTTCCTGAAATTTAAAAAATACCGTAAGTCAACACACTCTTATCAGTGAAGCAATCATATGCAGAATGAAAAGGAAAATTACCATTTCAAAATTAACAAACTCAATAAAATGTAATTAGCTTTGTGTCTCAAAGCCTTGATTAATTGATATAAATAGATGATTGACCTGACCTGCTGCATCCTTTGCTCAAACAACTCACGGAAGAAAAGGAGATAGAGAAACTAAGACTAATTATAACTGTTGGCATGTAATACCACTGAACATTGCTAAGGATTCAGTGCATACAACTGCAATCTAAGTCTTCTTGCCAGCATAAGAAAGTAAAAAAATCAATATGCATATTTCTTTTTATCTAGCAGTCAGACAAAATGAATATAAGGGAACCTGACAACTAATCCATTCAAATGAAATCACAATAATCACTATTGAATGTTGAGCATATTAAATGTCTAAAAATATTTCATGTAGATTTTAGATTCACAGGAAAACACACAGGAAAAGTGTTGACTAATTAGTTCCTACTGTGACAATTTCAATTCCCAAATAAAATCTAGTGAGCATAAATAGGTGTAGCTCCTCATGGGATATATATATAACTATCAGTTACATTCTGACCTGCAGCATAGCAAGTAAGACTCACCTTTCCCTGCATAATAAGCCGGATTGTGAGTGTGACATTAGGATCATCGCTCATCTTGCTTTCCATATCCATGTTTACTGATTAGTTGAACTGATGAAAGAGATGAAGTGGTCTGGTTGTATTTTGGTTACTGTGGATTTGAAGCAGTTGGGTTCAGATCTGCAACACACAAGACAAGGGAATGAATGAATGCTCTAAAAAGCAATCTCATGCAACAAAACAAATGAATCACTATGATTCAGTAAATGTTAGCAAAACATGTGAAGCTTGCAATAGCAACAAACTCTATAGAAACAGTTTGCGAGCGTGCATAGTACTTAATTCATAGGTCAACGTGCTTGGAGCGCAGCGACGTGATTGTGATTGCTGCTTTGCACATTTTCAACAAAGCGTTGTACTATCGCCCTCACCGCCAACCGCGACTGTAACGATTGCAACCGCTTTTCACACATTTCAGACGTTAATAAATAGCGATGCACGCTTTACTTACGTGGGGGGGTGGTCCAGGTGTAAAAATAAAACAAAATAGCAAACGGACGCTACCTTAGCAATGCCGAATGTGTGCACGTGCTTGCCGCATTTGACAATGCCGTGGCCTGCTCGCGTTCTCAGAGCATCGACCAAGCGTCGCGCGCTTCACCGGCGGCCATTACGTGCGCGCGAGTTGCGCGAGGCGCACTATTTTTGCCCCATTGCGGAGGCAACCCAACATACACCTGCCCGCACAACTTTTATCAACGTATTCAAATTTTATTTGTTATTTAATAATCTAATATCAAACACACCGCAAACATGATATCTTGTTATCAATTAAATAATAGTTTATCATAAAATACTAGTTAATCCAAAACAGTTTTACTTATTTACAATGTTATTTTTTTAAACTGAATACCTATTGTTTTAAGGTCACCTTAAAAACACCAATGCGCAATTATTTCACCCCACAATAAAGCTATTTAAATAAACCAGCAATTGTTTGTTTATGAGTAGTATTTAAGTTTATATGAATGAAAAACAATAGGTGCATTATATTATAATCCCGTTGGTGTGAACCGTCGATAGCATTTATCCCCGCATACGTTCACAAGTTTCCAGCACATTTTCCAGGACTCAACGTGCGCTTGGAGCACGCCGGGCGCGAGGATAATTGGTAAATCTAATTATACTCACTTGGCTGCACGGCGAAGTGTCGCGTGCCACTGGAGTGAGCACCGAACGTTAAACAAGCAAACAAATACCAAACAAAAAGCGGGCGAAAACTCATCGATTGGGTGACAATTTGACTTCAATTTCAAGAATCCGATTAGCCACCCGTTCACCCGTACCGCGCATCAAACTGCTGAGCGCCGTGTTAAACATTTCGGATTTGACCGTGCGCAAACATTGTTTATCTTGTTCGCGAATGCGTTTAATGATGTGCTATCGGATGTAAGAGCTCGTGCGAAAAGCCGGAAAAGCGTCGGAAATCGAATTGCGTCCGGTTTACGAACACTACGTTGCAGAAAGAGCATTCGTGCGCATGTGAAATGTTTACAAAGTCATTACATTACATGAGTCTAACAACATCAGCTACAACTGGTGCTTTGGAAAATCAACAACACACTAATTTGTTTATAACTGTGTGGCTAACAATGGCAATTAAATATTATTCATGTCAAATTGAAAGCAAATATTAAATGTATATTCAGAAACATGTAAAGAAAGTTGGTGGTTACTGTTGTAATACCATTATAAAACAATTTCGAGGAATAATTTTCCAATCTAGAATGTGTCGATTTTATGAATATGATTCACTATTTTGTTTAAAAGAAATAAGAAATGTTAATAATGCCATTTGGCGCCATCTCGGAATCAATGATGTAACTACAACTATGATTGAATATCTTGCATTCTTTATTTAACACCCTTTAAACAACAACTTTCAATATTTCAATTATTATTCTGCTATTCAAGGCTGTGTCATATCCAACAAATAATAATAGATCATGAAAATTTGTCATGTTGTTCTTGAGTTATAAGTGCTGTAACTAATCCAACATGGTTTATATATAGCCAAAATAACTTGTAAACCTCAAATACTCTCTGGTGAGTAGCAGGAGACATACGCTGCCATAACCTCTCACTGGACAGCAGCAACCAGAGAGGATTCAATTTAATTTTTGAAAGGACATTTACGATGGATGTAAATCGTGCCGACGATGGAATTGATTGAAAACGCGTCCCTTGTCCCCGTCCCACAATGCTTCATTGTCACTCTGTGCAGCGCACGGACCGCTTCGCACGAGCACCCCTCGGATAAATATAGTATTTAATAGAAACTACACCTATTGAAATATCGATATCAACGATGAGTGGTTGTTAGGCGATGCTACCTATGCGCGACCGAAGCATTGGAAGCGTATGCCAGCCAGCCCGTTGTCGAGCGGGGGCGTTATGCAATTAAATTGAAAATTAAATCGGGGGCGCTGCTCGCTCGTCCATTACTCGGTTTTGCATCTACTATATGTTACCGTAGTTTAATCTACGCACAATAATGCAATATATTTGCTAAATATCATTCAATATAATTCAAGCAATGTTTGATTTAGATTTTGAGTGAAACGTTTCAATTTAAGATAGCCAAAGTCCATTTATATTAATTTTTTTTCTTTGTGGTTGTTTTATCGTTTATGCTGTGTCTGCTGACACAGGCGTGTACCTCCTGCTGGTCCAGAATGTCCTGCGGCCGCGTTTGCAGGCGGGACATAAGTGCTTCACATTTTTCACCGCGGCGACCAACTGGAACCACTTCGCTCGCTGAAAAACGCAAAAATGCTGAAAAAACCGCGCGTGCTGATCGTTTTTCAATGCGGCGCACATGCACGTAACGTGATTTCCTTCTTTTTCTACTCCTGCGGGGTCAAAAAAATGAACACAGGCAGTGCCTACACACGCGCTGTACGAAAATTGAAAATAAAGCAGTGGATAACGACATTTATTTACCATTTAGTAACCAAAAGCACTGTTTTAATCTGTGCGAGATTTAACAATTAATGAGAAATAATGCTTTGAAATTGTGTGACACTATCAACATTATTTTCATTGACATCTTCCCTATACTCTCGTTTCAATTACTTCGTATTCATTTTGCGACGCCTCAATGGGAATAAGAAAATAGGAATCAAAGTGGCGTAGGACTTCGAACAACATTATTCGACTAGCAAGACGTTTTTTTCATCTACTCTCTTGGTGCGACTCGAGAAGCTTCTCGAAGATCTGTTATTCCCTTGTTCGCATTTTCATTCTTATTTGAGCGCTCGAGTATTCGTCTCAATCTCTCGGCGATCTTGCACCCCACTGGGGAAAAGCCTACAATCCTGATATAAACGCTTCCATTTCAGCCATTTCACCAGTTCACCCATCTCTAGTGAATTCTACGTTTCTACTGTCGATTGCGAAATCATCTGCCGTGTAACTAAACACGATACCATGTGTTCACAATTAAAAGTTTTCATTGTTACAAGTTTAAATAATTTTTTAATTAAATATTTACACTTTAAGTTATAATTACAAAAAAATTCTAAATTTTGTAAAGATATTCCTCTTATTTGTTTAATATTGTTTCTTTTTTTGTATAAAAAAGTATTTTTTGACATTCTGTACGTTTAAGAACCATGTCAATACATTTTCTTTTCGTTCGATTTTTCCTGGTTTTGCTAGAGATGTTTTTAGCCTCTAATGCGACAGCAAATCGGACAACGTAAACGGTAAGCCTCGCGAAGAGAGCCCGAACGACAGATTCAGTCTTTTGTCGTTCCGCCACGCGCACGCGGATGCCAAAAATTGTTATTTGGATTCAATTTTCGACGGCGCGATGGCGATCTTCTCTTTGAAAGCCGGCTCAATGCCTCCCGTCCTATACAAACATAGCCGAAAGAGGAAGAATATCTTGCTCAGATCGAAAGGACAAGTCAAACGGACAGGGAAGAGGCGCAGAGATTGCGAACTTCACAACGATTACACCAATGCCAAAAGTATACCAAAAAAGCAACAAGATACCTTCTATATACACAATTTATTTAATTGATCTTAAATACAAAGAGTAAAGAAGAATCTAATAAAATCGTTACTCGTTACGGTAATTTAATTTAATTAAATTGCGGAACGTACGAGGCAAGCAAAAGCGGAGTAACATTATCACAAAATGCGAAAACAGCAAACGTGATACACGAAACACGAAACTCGAAGCGGCATCAAGTAATTCATATTTTATACTTGATATTCGAGCAAAAGCATCGCGTGCGATGCGCAAGGATTCCTCCCTTTTGTTCAGTCTGCTCGCAATGGAACATCCCCGAAGCAGAGCAACGCTGTTTTTCGTTTATCGCCCTGCTTTAGAGGCAGATGATTAAAAATTAATTAATTAAAAAAATGAGTTTCTGCTTTCTCTCGTCTGTTTTATTCAGTAGCCTTTGAAAGAAAAGTGTAGCAGAATTAATTTTTGATTTCTTTTACAAATTTGATTAATTAAAAGTTAATTCGTAATTATCTTGATTACGGCAATAAGAAAATCAATGCAATTTTATTTTTATTTTATATTTTTACGTGCTTTTTGTAAGAATTTATAAAAATTGTTCACGTTGCAAGTTGGAACGAAAGCGAAGGACATTAGCACTAAGGCCAGGTGCTAATTTAATCTTCGTTTGTTTCCGCGCTTGATACCACACCTTGCGGATTTTTTCGGCGTGCGTTGCTTTCTTATTTCGGAGAAGATTTCGTATTTTTTCCAACGTTGTGCTTTTCGTATTTAGCGAGGTTTAAGTAAACCGTTTAGGGCATAATTGCTCCAAGAAGCTGGGTGGACGCGGCCTCCGAACCGTTTAAGATTTTCATTTTTCAAGCCCGCAACCGACGCAATAAGGAAGAATAACGAGGAAAAAATGTGAAACGCCGTGCAAACGGAAGGGAATTTTTTAATTTACGAGGCGCGGAATTTAGTGGGGTGCCGTTTGGCTTTATGAGAACGCCACAACGTTGTTAAACTTACAATTTTCTTAAGAAAATTCTATTTTCCTGGTATGACTACTAAAGACGGATTATGTATTTTTAGTTAAAGTTATATAAATGCCACCTACACGTATTCATATAATTTCAAATAAATCTTCTATTTTTTGCTTTGGTAAAAGGAGTAACTTAACAATTTAACGCTAAATCTCCATCCCAATTGCTTCCTGAGACACCTTCCTTAAACAACCTTGAAGGTCTCGCATCCGCCTGATCTTCGGCATTGTTGACTGTTGACGCAATCTGCATATTAGATAACTTTCTGGGTCCTCGCCCAGGTTTCACTTTCCCCAATTGTCCCTGTTCGTTCCACGCGAAAAGGGAAGATTGACTACCAATCTCAACGTCTGAAGCATTCAGGTGGAAATTACGCGACGTTCGCATGCGTAACTCGCGTTAATTCATGACTTTCACATGAGTTACCTACACAGCATCACTTTATCTGTTAAATCTTCACATTCCTCGCTAAAAGATCCTTTTAAATTTAAATTATTTGCGAAACTTTTTTTTGACGCCGTTCCAAGACAATTTACATAGTAAACTTTGTGCTATTTCAACTTTCCACGCAATTTCCCTGCGAAAAGGACATTTCAAGATGGATGACGG